AAAAAAAAAAAAAAAAAAAGCAACAATGTATTCAGGACTTGAGAGAAAACAAGTGAAAGAAAAACATGCTTCAGATAGAATCAGATGCTGGATGAAATTATTTCAAATATGCCGAAGATCACCAAAATTTCACATGATTGGCCTTAATCAAGTATAAAGATATTTGACAGATCCCACGCCAATTAAGGTGATAATTAATGGTATTTTCACAAACATGAGAGAGAGAGAGAGAGAGAGAGAGAGAGAGAGAAAAATTTTGTACCTAGAAAGGAGAAATCTGGAAACAAATTCAACTCTCAAGTTCATAATAGCAAGAACTGCTTGAAAAAGAAAATTCAGAGAAAAGTGAAATACCTGCAACAACTTCACAAACTCGTCAGGTGTTTTAGCAAGGCGCATTCCACGCCCTCCTCCACCAGCCGTTGCCTGCAAAAGGTTACACTAGATGTAAGCCGGTATAGTTATATCAAGAAAATTCTCAACGTTAATGAAAACAAATCATAGCCTAGCCATGCAAGACAATACTTATATTCTTCTAAAAACAATGATAGAAACAAAACATTATGCCCAATAATAAAAGATGTAACTGATTTTTATGAATAGTTAAACAGAATCATCATTTTTTCATATGCATTCTATTAACTTTAACACTATGTCAGACTAGAAGACACTGAAAGGTCCATCCTCAAGGAAGAACGAGAAAATAGAGTCCATATATTTAATTCACTGAAGCAATCAAAGGATAATTAATAATATAACTTTCAAGATGTAAGAACAACATATTTTGGCCAAAAATCAGTGCTCGCTGTGATTTAACAATATAGAGAATCAAAAGATTATCATATCTGTCTCCATAACAACCATATGATACTTATGTGGTCGTGAGAGCATTTGCCTCGGGTTAGTTGATGATTAAGGCAAAAGTATGGAATGCTAATTAAGGTTTATGTCTTGAAAATATATATTTGAACGAAAGTGATTTTCAATCAAAACGAAGCCACCCATGAACTTGGCGTTTCGAGAATCCTGCTCCCACTAAGTGGCTTTTCACGAATTAGTTTCCCCCACATTCTCTTTCTGGGCATTCCAACTTTTGGTCACTGTTGTAGATGCTAGTATAGATGTACTTAGTTTCACCTTTTAACCAAAGCTTAATGATATTAGCCCTTTTGCTTATCTTGATTCTTGAACCTAAAACAGGCTTCAGCCAACTATGCTCAAAGTTCTTCAGCTACAAAATTTCAGAATGTACACATGACCCAAGAAGCTGCCAAGTATAACAAGAAACTAAAAAAGTTATGACAAGGAGAATGTAATGTCCTGTTGAATCTCATTAGAACTCAATAGAGCAATTTTTTTCAAATTGTGAATAAATACGAAGGCAATTTACACGTGAAGTGTAACTATAAAACTACTGTTGCTAGGTAGAGCAAATACTCAACCAGTGAATGCCACAATGCCATACTAAATTCACATTCACATAGGCAGCAGCTTCTCATATTAAATTTCCTAAGTCGCTAAATCTTCTTTCACCACTAGTGCACAATTTTTTTTTCTTTATTTATTCATTTATTTATTTATTTTGGAGCTAGCAAATGTATGCAGTAATAACATGTAATCTTGCACAGTATCACATTATAAACAACTTACCTTGATCATAACAGGATAACCAATCTCATCTGCAAGTTTCACTGCTTCTTCAGTACTCTGGAATGACAAGCATCATTGAAAAAAATATTATGAAGGAAAAAAATAAAGAAAGAGAGGTGGGGGCGGGGGGTTGCTGGTGGCAAGTTGGTCAGGGAGCAACAGTGTTAAACAAAACGTAATACCTGCAACAATCCATCACTTCCAGGGACAGTTGGAACACCAGCATTCTTCATTGTATCCCTAGCAGTTGACTTGTCACCCATGACCCTGATACTATCAGGCTGCAAAATGAATTCAAAGTTCAACATCATAAACCTGCATCTTGTCCCAGTAATTATGATTCGATACTTAGAAACTCAAAATTTTGAAGGTATATCTCGTTTGGAAAGAAGAAATTACATCAACCAACTTATATTTTTTTTTTTTTTTGACAAATAAATATGCTAGCTCCAAACAGATAACAAATTTCAGGGTGGGAAGACAGCGAATACATTGAATCACAAAATCCATATCATTATCCAAGATGGCTACCCATGCAAAGATCAAGATCATTTTCAAGAATAAATAATGACACAGACGGCTCAAGCCTCAAATGGAAATCGGTTTATAGATAGTACTGTCTTGTCAAATTACAACCTCCGCAACAGGGATGGGGAGTCTCTTGTATTATTTTTAAATACTTCAGTCATTAAAATGAGAACACCAAACCACTTTCTCTGAAATAACAGTGGCCTGAACACAACAAAGTGACCATCCAACTGTGCTTGCTAAAACATACAAGAAGCCTGAGAGGCCAACTTTGATGGTGTTGGCTTCAAGACTGTAAATAGACTCAAAAATCAAAGATGCAGCCATATAAATGGTCACAAGAGAAGATACCCAATATTTTTTTATACACCACCCGTACTTGAGCTAGTCTAAACATTCCAATCGAGTCAACTTACATTTGGTCCAATGAAGTTAATTCCATGTTCTCTGCACATGTCAACAAAAACAGCATTCTCAGAAAGGAAACCATATCCAGGATGCAGCATGGTACACCCACGGCTGATGGCGGCAGATAAGACATTTGAAACCACCAAGTAACTGGAGAAAAGGAGAGAAAAAGTATTATATCATACACAATGAGATCTGGATGCATAAAAAAAGCTGCTCGACACTACATCCAGATTAAGTAGGAACATATATTGAACAAAGATACTGTTGCTAAATCCTAACATCTCCTGTGACTAAATTTCCCATCCAAAACTCCCTAAATCACAAACTAACTGTGTTGGTGCTATCCTAAAACAGCCGGTGAACAAAATATACCATCCCTAAAATACAACTTCAACTTTTCATGTGTAAGTCTTACTGCAAGTTCTTTAAGTTGTTACAACAACCAAAAGCGAGGACAAAATGAACATGGATGTTTAAAGATCATGATGAGCTTACGATTGATTGCTCGGAGCCTCCCCAATGCAAACAGACTCATCCGCCAGCTTTACATGAAGAGCATCCTTATCGATGGTCGAATAAACAGCAACACAAGGAATGCCCATCTCATGTGCAGTTCGAATCACACGGACAGCAATTTCTCCTCTGTTGGCCACCAGTATTTTATCATCCTGGCCTGTGGCACAAAGTACGCCCCCACGTTTGCCATATTTACGGCCAACTCGAGAAGGCTGCACCTTCTGCCCGGGGAAGCTAACTCTTCCCACCATAAAGCTACACTGAGAGCTCCTAATTCCGGCTGTCCTACCCATGTATAGGCCCTTTCACAGATAATACAATAAAAAATAAACAAATAAATTAGTACCTCATTATTATGTAAATTTAAAAAAAAAAAAAAAATGAACTAAGTTTTGAGAGCAGTGGACGTGACTAAATGAAAATGTCTGAAAATATGCCGGTGTCGAGATGAAAAAAAACAGTTAGACAAAGGGAAAGATAGATTCCAGCATCATGCATAAATGAATGCACACACACACACACACACACATGATGAAGTGGTGTTCATCACACAAACAATCATATACATCAAAACTGAAGTTCATTTCACAACCTAAGCTTTATCAGTGCAAACCAACTTCTGATTCTTGCACAAAAGGTGAGAGGGAGAATAGCCCATAGATTGACCACAATTTAATAGGTACAGTTAATTCTTTTACATGCAATCATTCCGCATTATAGCATGAGACCGCACCACATAGGCAAGATAGAAATAGGGTGGTCAAATTTCGGTACAAATTGTTTCATTTTGGAGTAATACGGACCAATTATGTGATTATATTATAAGCCAATTAAAGATGTCAAAATTTATTTAGAAAATGCCGTGAAACACAAAGATGAGCTTATGCTTCGATGATTTCCTAATGCATTGAAGATGCATCCATGTTCGCAATGAATGACAAATTTTTATCACAAGAGAAAAGCGAAAAGGATATGAAATCTGAAATAGGTGTACTTACGGGAGATGAGCGAACAGTGTTGCTGCAAAAGGTCATGGTTGCAGATTCCATTTTTTCAGATCAAGAGAAAAGAATCACCCTGAAAGAAGAGAAGCGGCAGTAAATAACGAAACCTACAAGTAAGAAGAAGACATGACAGAAACAGAAGAAGGCGACAGACAATGCCAGTGAGAAGTCAGCAGCACAGCACAACCACACCAGCTGCTTCGGAAATTCTCGGATCTGCTAAAGCAACAAAAACCTTAGGAATGCGTCTTGAATTGCAACCTTAAGGATCTCTTGTTGTACAGACAGAGATTGAGAGAGTAATAAGGGTCTATTTGTAGAAGAAAAGGGCGTCGATGAAAACGATGACGAGGTGCAGTTGAGGTGGGATGAGACTGAAAGCTTACATGAGATTTTCCACTTTATTACTGATTTGAGTGATTACTAATTTTAAATAAGGTAAAATTGCATATAAAAGTTATTCATGTTTTTGCAATTTAATCATCACATTTACAATTTAGCAATTTAATGCACCACTTTAGTTATTTCTTGCAATTCGAATTACATGGCCCAATTTCGGGCCTGTTCTGGTGATGTGGCATCTTTGTGGTGACGTGGTGTTTCCACGTGTCAATGACGTGGCATCTTTGGGCTGACGTGACAGTCTATTTCAATTGAAAAAAAAATAAAAATTTGTATGCCTTACAATAGGAGGATTCAAACCCTTGCTTCCAAAGGAGAAAGATAGCTATGCTACCAACTCACCCATCCATGTTAGTTAACATATTCAATAACAATTTATATATATAGGAATTACGTATGAATAAATCATATTAAATTTAGAATAATTAATTATATTATATTAAATTAATTAAATATAAAATTACAATAAATTAAATTAAATGAAAATAAAATAAATTAAGATAATTAAAATATAGAATTTTATTAATTCATATTTTGTGTTAGAGTAAACCATATTAATAATATTTAATAAATAAGATTTTTATTATTTATTATTTCATAATAAGTTATTTTGTTTATTATTTTATTTTATTTTATGTGAATTCACCTTCTTTATACTTTATCATCTTATGTTATATTATTTTTATTACATTTTAATAAATATAACTTATTATGAAATAATAAATAAAAATAAATAAAAATCTTAAATAAATATAATAAATTAAAAAATATAATTTAAGTAAATAAAATGTTAAATAATCGTAAATGAATAATAAAACAAAAAGTGTTATTTCTATATAAAATAATAAAGTATTAAAAATCTTAAATGAAATAATAATTTATTATATAATAATAAGTTATTATATTTATTATAAATTTATTTTAAATAAATAAATAAAAATATTAAATGAATATAATATTATTAATGCGATTCACTCTAACACAAAATATGAGTTCAAAAAAATATATTTTAATTATCTTAATATATTATTTTTAATTCAATTTTATATAATTTAATATAATATGATTAAATTATCTTTTAGATTTGATTTGATTTAATGTAATTAAATTATTTTTTAGATTTAATTTGATTTCTTCATACGTAATGTGTGTATATATAAAAGGTTATTACATTTAACAACTAAGTTGGATTGGTGTGGTGGTAGCAAAGGCTGCCTTCAACCCTTTTAACCCAGGATCGAATCTCATATAGGGCGTGCAACATAATTTTTTTTAATTGACACATGGGTCGCCATGTCAGCGCAAAAATGTCATGTAAATGACACGTGGAATGTCATGTCAGCAAAAAAATGCCATATCAGCAGAACGGGCCGCCACGTCAGCAGAACAGGCCCGAAGTTGGGCCCTGTGATTCAAATTGCAAAAAATAACCAAAGTGGTGTATTAAATTACTAAATTGCAAATGTGGTGATTAAATTGCAACAACATGAAAGGTGGTGCATTTATATGCAATTTTGCCTTTAAATAAATATACTACACAACCAGATGAAAATTTCCTGTTAGTTAATTCAGTCTTTAGTTAAAAGTCCTACCCTTTCTTTTTTTTTTTTTTTGTTTAAGTTTTTGTTGAAGAATTTTTTTTACAAACAAAAAAAACATGCCGAGGGGATTAAGGTCGGATCTCGAACCTATAAATAGTTAAGACCATAAATGGGTAAAAAAAATCACAGGTATACACAAGTCCAGCCATAAACCAAAAGCAAAAACGAGAAAAAAGAAAAAACAGTCAAACTGAAAAGTCTAAACCTGGGCTGACAAGTGGCCAGGCAAACAATCTGCTCCACCAAGTGGGTCAAAGCACAAAAATACAGGACGACTACTAGAATTTAAACGAGGGGAGCCAATATGGTTCATCCTCATAAGAGCACGAAGATAGAGAAGTGCGTCATCCAGGTGAAAGATGCGCATCTGTTGGGTGGAGACACCTAGGCTGTCCAGGTAGTCAGCGGGTTCGTTCCCCTCACGAAAGATGTGTGAGATCTGATAGCGAACCGACTAAAGTGTGGATCTGACGCGCATGAGTGGATGCTGAATCTGCCACGAGCCCTGGTGGCCTGAGGTCAAGAGGGTGGCAACATCGGCAGCATCCAGCTCTATTCAAATGTGAGTAGAGATAGAAGTAGCAATCTAAAGACCGATCTGAAGAGCTTGAACCTCCTCGTCGTAACTCGAGAAGGACTGAAGAAGGGCTTGGAAGGCGGTAATGAGAGCTTCGTTTTGATCCTTAATCAGGCCCCCGCCTCCAGTGGCTCTAGTACTTCGGTCGAAAGATTTGTCAGTGTTTAGCCTAACCCGAGGGGAGTCGGGTCTTAGCCAAACAACGGCTCTGGGGCATGGGTGTTGTACAGGAGACAGCGGAGATGGTGCGAAGCAGTGGGGCCGCATGCAGCCTTTCTAGTCTCTAGGTGTGAGTATGCCCAAAGCTGTAAGGAGAGAGAGATGTCGATCAACATTTAAAACAGTGCGAGAGCACATAAAAGTAATATCCCTATCCTTCACACTATTCCTTTATGTCCAGATGAACCACATGATCAGACAAGGAATGAGGAATCCCACGTCTCTAAAGTGTGAGCGCTGTGAGGAAAAAAAACTCATAAGCACAAAGAAATTGTCTGTAGTGGGTAGGGGTAAATAAATATAAGTGGCAAAATGCTTCACACTCTCCTCGCAACCTCGCTCTATAAAAACAAATGGAAAAAGTCTCAGTTTAGAGATCACTGGTCTCGGCACAACAGTAACACCGCGAAGAGAAAGAGAACCCTCTCGTCTGCAACACAAAGTCGACAGGAATCCAACAAAGGAGAAGGCTCCAAAAGAAGACAGAGGGGTAAGAAGGTCGATCCAAATGGCACCGAAGAGAAGGTTAGACCGGTCATCCAGTCGTACTTCCCCCCAAGCCAAGGTCATAGAAAATGCACCTGAATGTGTAAGTCTCCACTTCACACAGTCTAAACCGTCCTCCGAGATAAGAACCTGTTGGATCTACTCCATAACCTAGTCACTAAAACTCGCTCCAGTACCCAACACCCTCTCTAACCTATTCATATGCCACGCCCCAATAGGTCATTCGTGACCAAGAGAAGAGAAAGTTATGCCTATCCCAATCCACATACATAGACACTGTCCTAAAGCATTTCAACATGTAGGATTCCAATAAAGGGGATTTACCCTTTCGGCACGAAATACCTCTATCTAAGAAGATGTCCCCGAAGACAACTCAAGAGGTAGAGGAAATGAAGGCAGTTCCTTATGCATCGGCAGTAGGAAGCCTCATGTATGCTATATTGTGCACGCGACCTGATATTTGTTATGCCGTGGGCATGGTACCAAGATATCAGAGTATTCCAGGACCGTAACATTGGTCTGCGGTAAAGCATATATTCAAGTACCTACGTAGGACTAAGGAGTACACGTTGATTTACAAGGCAGATGAATTGCTTCCGTTAGGTTACACCGATTCTGACTTCCAGGCAGACCGGGACGAAAGCAAGTCAACCTCAGGGTTTGTGTTTACTTTAGGAGGAGGAGCCATAGTATGGAGGAGTGTCAACCAGAAATGCGTGGCAGACTCAACCATGGAGGCTGAGTATGTAGCAGCCTCAGAGGCAGCGAGAGAAGCTGTCTGGCTCAGGAATTTTCTCCTCGACCTTGATGTGGTACCAAGTTTACCCACTGCGATGACAGTGTTCTGTGATAATAGCGGAGCAGTAGCAAATTCGAAGGAGCCACGGACTCATAAAGCGAGTAAACACATAGAGCGCAAGTACCACCTGATACGAGAAATCATTGGACGAGGAGAAGTCGTTGTTGCCAAGATACAGTCAGAGGACAACCTACCAGATCTTTTTACGAAAAGCCTACCGGCGAAAGTCTTTACAGGACACGTAGAAGGAATGAGAGTCAGATGTTAGGGCGACATGTATACTAGTCTTTGAGAATTAGATTGAAAGAAATTTTGGTTAGTTTGTTTAGCCATGAGATTATAAAGCATAAGTGGGAGATTGTTAGAGATATGCTGTAAAAGCTAGGTTTTGCAGATTCTATCAATTCCATTTTGATCTGGCCATCAAGTTTCAGTCAAAATATATAGGCAAAATGGCAGGTTTTAACACGACCTTTACGTGTTTGGCAATTTAATCACGACTTTCAGACTTTGTCAGAAAAATACATGACCTTTACATTTTTGGCAAAATGATACACGCCGTTAACGGCGTGTATCATTTTGCCAAAAATGTAAAGGTCATGTATTTTTCTGACAAAGTCTGAAAGTCGTGATTAAATTGTCAAACACGTAAAGGTCGTGTTAAAACCTGCCATTTTGCCAAATATATATGTTTGCAGTTTATTTATTTATGCAAATCATACTCCATGTCTTATATTGAGATAGTGTGGTTCGAAGTGTTTCGAACAGAAAGATCACCTATCTATTCCTTATAAGACTAAATTATTCGTTCACAGTCTAGACAGACAGTGAGACCCCTCTTGGAAAAAGACTGTAGTGTATTCTTGATTCAGTTGGTCTTTGACAGAAGAATTATACTAGCACTTATGTTAAGTGTTGAACATGACCACGGAAGGATAAG